GAGGTCTTTCAACTCCCTCTCCCGTTCTGACAATCCCTCAGAATCCTAGGCACATGATAGAATATGCGCATTGCAGAGGAATCAAATGATATGAATTACAGAAACAAAATCTCCAAGAGATTCACCAGAACATGGAAAACTCAGCAAAGCCATTCATCATAGGATAAAAGAGAAGAAATCCTATTAGGAAAAAAAAGGAATGCTTAACATAACAATAAAGGAAATGGAATTAAGCATCCATACCTCATTGTTTGTAACTGGTTGTATGAATTTCATGTGAGATGATATCGGCAAAATGTTAAGTTCATCGTCCATCACAACACATGCTTTGCATGATGCTATAGACAGCAAGAACCTTTCATTGAACCTTGTGGCCGCTTGAGTATGAGACTCTGTTCGAAACCTTTCATGGACATCCTGTTGGCACAGAAAGAACCAAACTCAAAAATCTAATTCAGCACGAATGGGGCATGGGGCAGGTGGTATAGAGATTCTTCATTCTTAATAGACAACATGTGTACCCAAAAAAAACTATCGAAACTATCGAGTTCCTTACTTAATTGAGTGTGTATGGGTGAAAGAGAAGTGAAATGCAGAGAGGATAAACGAAACTCACCATGACCATTGTATAGAGGCTCGTGAGCGAGGACAGCGAGCGGAGCAGCAGGATTATCAAACCACCACCCTCAACTGTCTCAATGGTCCGTGCAAGAAGGTTAGGCGTCAGCGCCTCAAAGTCCTGAAGCATCATCAACAAAGAAAATTCAGCAACAAGGAAGCCGAGGATGGCAGCCTCAACCAAATGTAATAGAAGAGAAGCTTCAGGCAGAACCTGTAGTATGCACATGCCGAACGTGTTACCAAGGACCCGCTCAGAGTCTCTGTAGAGGCAGTATGTAATGTCCGAGGTCTCCATGAAGAGGGAGAACGGGTCAGCCTTCTCAGGGTCCAGGAGACCCCGCTGCATGAGCTTCTTGATCTGCTTGCCGCGCTTCTTCTTGTGGCTACGGTACAGGATGAAATGGAGGACAAGTAGGGAAGTAAGTAAATACAGCACTGCACAATGCAAGCCGTGTCGTCTCAGCCAATTCATTCACCAACCGAGCAGCAAGTTAAGGGTCTGTTTGGATACACATGGCTAATTACTAGTTGGGGCTAAAAATTAGCCCAAATTAGCTATGGTTGGCTAGCTAGTTGGCTAATAACTAGTTGATGACTTGGCTAAAAAAGTAGCCCACCTATTAGCTCTCCTGTTTGGATGCACTAGAACTATTTTGGCTAATTTTTACCTAGCTAGCAATTAGGCCTTGTATCCAAACATGCCCTAAGTAAAGCAAGCGTGCCGTGGAGGAAGACGCGGCCAGTCGCAAGGGCATCACCATCACCTGCTGATCTCGAGCTTGTCGCGGTAGCACCAGAGGACGGAGGGGCGCGACTTGACGCGGGACTTGGTGAGCATGTAGTTGAGGTTGACGATCTGGTCGCGCGACTTGTCGCCGACGATGACGAACATGGAGCGCTGCCGCTGCCGCACGCCGTTCTCGATCAGCGTGCGGATGCGCTCGTCCACCTTCTTCCTCATCCTGCCGCAGCTCCTACCTGCTGTCGCCGGCGGCGGCTGTTTCCGAGGGGGGCGGTGGGGGGGTTTAGCTAGGGTTTAGCCGCCTCGCAGACGCCGGCCTGAATCGGTGAAGGCGCGGGCGGGAGGACGGAGAAGGGGACAGGGGATGATGTGTGATGGGAGCGTGGACGGCGGGATGGGGGCGCACGGGGCTGCTTCCACGGTTGAGATTGCCCCCTAGTTTTTATTAGGGAGCGCGATACTGGGCTGTAGATTGGGCTGGGCTTTTTAAGAGCAGAGCAACTCCCAATTCCTGTCTTTCTTTTTGGCGGCGAGGTAAAAAAAAGAGCCTACAACAGCAAGTGCTCAAAAATGCTTCTAAAAAAAAAAGCAAGTGCTAAAAAAAATACAAGCCTATTTGCATGTCTATTTCTAACGTGGATGTTAGCATGGCTATATTATTATCGGTGCCCAAAAGGCCACCGAGTCAATGTGATCGCTAGCTTTGGAATTGCGTAATAATCCCTATTTGCGTGTCTGGCATTCCAATGGTAAAAATTCCGCGTTCGGCTGGCTGGCCAGCTGCGGCTGGGCTGGCCAGCGCTCTCACGGTGGTACTTTGGAATTGCGTAATATTTTTCCCTATTTGTAATGTCTGACATTATTTTGGTAAAAGGGCGCAAACACCTTATATCTTCGCCAGGCCCAACCCATGCAACACGTTTGTTTGATTACCTAGCCCATGCCCTCCGCCAGGCCCAACCCATGCAACACGTTTGTTTGATTACCTGGACACCTTCACAGGGCCAGGCCAGCACGAGCGTTAAAGCACCCACGGGCCTGGCTCCTGGCTGGCTTGAGCTTGAGATGGGGCTACCTCCTTTCAGCCACGGCCCCTTCTGGACTTCTCGCGCACCACGACCGCTACGGCACCGCCGCCTCCACCGCACCTCTCTTTCTCAGCTCCTCTTTTATCCTTTTGGCCGCCGGACAGACAGGGCTGGCATGCAAGGAGGATGAGAGCGCTCGCCATGGCCGTCGCCCTCGCCATGCTTCGTGTCCACGGGCTGCACTTGGGAGCGCCGACGCGGAAGTTCGACGCGGAACGCATGGAACGCCGCGAGCCCGAGCAACGCCTGTCACGCCACGGCGGCGATGGGGCGCTCCCCCATCGGGCGGCCCAGCTGGCGGAGTAGGCCCGGGCATGAGCTCCAGCTTAGAGACGCACAACGTGGGGGTCGTTCGCCGCGCCGCGGCCGTCGTGCTCGCTCTGCGTCGCCACGGGGCTAGCTACCGCGCGCGAGCTGCGGCTCGAGGGCCACGCGCCCATCGTGTTCGAGCGCGCCCACGCTCGTGCCGGTGGAGTTGAAATGGCTTGAAGAGAAGAGAGAAGGTGAGGTGGTAACATTACCAGAATTTCCTATATGCATCTGTGCAGCCAAACAAACAGGCTCGGCTCATTTTGGTTCAGGGAAACAAACGCGAGAGGTTGTACCATGGGAGCCGAGCCTGGCCAGCTGGCCGTGTTGGGCAGAACCATGGGGTCTTCTTGTGCGGTCCAGGGGTGCGGGATGGGCGACGGCGTGCTCACGCCAAGGAGACCGGTAACTGAACTGCCGCGCATGCGAACGGCGTCCACACAACCGGCCAACCAGGAGGCCGCTTCTGCACCGGCTTGGGCCAGGTTCTAGTCGTCTCCAGCACTAGGCAACCGTCCGACCGGACTTTGTTGCATCCCAGGCTCCCAGCGCCAGGTTGGTCGAGACACGCATGCACCCAATCAATCACGCTGAGCCGCCGGTGCGGGCGTGTGGCGTCGCCGAGGGTACCCAAAGCTTGACACTACGCTACGGACGACCACTGTGGCTCACCGGCACCCAAGTCGTGAGTCGTCGGCATATTCGCACCATCTGACAGCTCCTGCTCTCCGCTAAGGCCTTCTGCAGTGTGCTCCTAGAGTGATGCTACACTGTGAGCCCGTGCCAACACCGATGCCTGAAATGAAAGATTCTGGAACGATGAATGTTGAAGCACCTGTGCCCATTCATTAAACAAGTATTTTTTGTTTGCTATTGAGCCATGCACATGCGAGAGAGACCGTACATGAGCCTCTGTACCTCTCCAGAAATTACGCACCAGGAATCAAAATGCACGCTGCAGCGTCCTTGAGTGAAGCCAGTTTCTTTTCAGGTGAGACCTAAATTTTGGTGGGCATCACTTCGGCCTTGTTTAGATAGCTGTTAGGAATCAGTATTTGACACTGTAGCATTTTTCGTTTGTATTTGACAATTATTGTCCAATCATGGTCTAACTAGGCTCAAAAGATTCGTCTCGTAATTTACAATCAAACTGTGTAATTAGTTATTTTTTTTACCTACATTTGATACTCCATGTATGTGTCCAAAGATTTGACGTGGTGGAGAGAGAATGAAAAAACTTGGAATCTAAACAAGCCCTTCCACACTGTGGAAGGCCCAACAGCTCTCTGTCCCTGCATGTCTGCATCCGGCCGTTGTGTTGCGGCGACGCAGAAATTCCGTGCCGCGACGGCGAACTACTGCTCTGTTCTTCGCCGAGGAAAAAAAGAAGACACGGCAGCTGGGTCGCCTGGGCCCCGCGGCGGCGACGTGTCTGGCCAGCGTCCCGGCGCACACACATACCCGGGCAACCATCTCCGTTTGCCCACGTCGCCCCTTCTCCCAGCACACGTTTCTGATTCATTCATGTTTGGCCCCCGCCTCCCCGGCCGTGGCTACTGATCGAACTGGTGTATGCAATTTTGAAATGAACTCGCGTTGTTTTTTTTTAAATGAACTAATTTATAATGCAGGTTTAGGCAGGAATGGAGATAGTTTGAAGCCATCTGCCCCTGGTAGTGACTAGTGTGAAGACAGAACAATGGTCGAGGAAAAGACAGGAAGCAAAGGTGCTCGCACACCACTCGTAGCTCAAGGAGTGTGTACCATTCTCATACACTAATCCCAATCCCATACGTCAATTTCGAAAAATATCTTATGTGGCATTTTTGCCGATCCGGCCCCTCTGTAATTTCTCGAGAATGTTAGGGCGTCCTCAGTGGCTTGCGAAATTCGTTAGTTGTGTTGCGTCACGTTCTTGTACTATGATATGCTAAAAAGAAAGACGCTAGGGCGACTGCCAGGTCCAAGCACAGTTGAAGTTGTCCATTGGCGGGCTTGTTGGTCGTAGCGGTAGCAACGACATCTCTCAATGTAATTATTTCTCTCAATGTAATTATTTTTAATCTGAGATGTCGGGTATCAAGCTTAGAGCCGACCTCAAGCTTTTCTTCGTTTAATTTCTTGCTCCATCCATCCCCAATAACCCATCTTTTTGTGGGCACCAAAACATTCCTCTTCCCCCACCCCCTCAAATGAAGGAGGAGTTACGTCCCCCTATAGGCTTCACTTCCCTGGACACTATGAGCCATAGCCACTGCCTCCACCCACGATGCTCTGCCCTTGGCAACGAGCGCAACAGGTCACGACATGGCATACATATGGCATACATCTCATGCTCCCTCATGCTAGTGACGACACCCATGGAGATTGACTTGCACGCCATGCGCGTCGTGTGCGTGCTGGGCCATGGCACCATAGGCACGGTCTTCCTTGCCATGGATGGCGGTAGGGCTGGATATTGAGCTTGGCTTGGCTTGGTCCAGCTCGAGTCGTTAGGCTAACGAGCCAGCTCGACTCGACTCGGTTCGTTAATATTACGAGCTATAGGGGCAGCTCAGCCCGGCTCGTTTAGCTCACGAGCTAAAAAAAATAAGACATACATGTTTATAATGTTCATGCCACAATAATTTCAGAAGGGAACGTCCACCATTATACAACCATACATGATTAATACATATCAGGTTCATCAAAAGTATCAACCATGCAACATAGCTGGTCCATCCATGATCCATGCAGTTATAGCATACTTACTAGTTGCTTGCCACCACAAACTTAGGAAAGTCTACAAATTCAATGTTAGCATCATCATCTTCTCCCAAGAAAACAATCCATAAATCAACATTTAAATACCACAACAATTATAAAATCAAAATTCATATGAAACAGCTGAAAATAAAGATTACATATCAATATAATAAGTGTACACTTCTAGGTCGGCATCATCATCTTCTAAATTCATGGTCGTGGGCTGATATGCCTTAGCTCGTTTGAGCTCATGAGCAGCTCGCGAGCTGGCTCGTTAAAACAACGAGCTAGACTTTCAGCTCAGCTCGTGAAAAAATTAAAACGAGCCGAGCCGAGCCGGACACGAGTCGAGCGAGTTGACGAGTGGCGAGTATTTTGTCTAACCCTAGATAGCGGCGACCGGGAGGCCTACACATCAAGGTCTTTAACAAAGTGCTCCCCTGCTACGACGCTGAGGCTAGTGGAGGGCAACGACGTAGCATGGCGGCATGCGATGGGAGGTGCTTGTCTTGTCCATGCTCATGCACCTGCACCTGCCAGGATGAGGCCTTGGCGTCGGGGTGGAGACAAATTCAATGCGAATGGAGACGGAGCGGTATGGTAGGGGTCCAAGATAAGGGAACGACGACTGAGCACACATGGAGGGAGACGAGCTGTTGGAGCCTTGGAGCCCACTAGCGGTGGTGCCCGAGAGGGGAATTATGAGCACACTGGTGAGAGGGACGTCGGAGAAGAAGAATGACCGATAGGGAGAAAAAGAAGAAAAAGAGAACATAAATAAACTAATATCTGACAATTGAATTCATGTATGTCTTCTCCAATAATCAAAAAGATATCATTAGATCGTCTTCATTATCATTTTATTAAGCGACTTGTGTTAAGGAGCTCTAAGTTTTTTTTTGAAAGGCAAGAAGCTCTAAGTTTGAGCGTCCAACGTATATGGTCCAGTCCAACTATGTTAAGACCCTCTATTTTCTACGCTACTAGTGCCTTGATCTCACTTTATGACATGAAATTGAAATTATTATCATGGGTCAAGTTGTAAAAATGTTGACGGTATATATAAAAACAAAGATACAAAGAATAGTTTCTTCCCGAGCGAATGACCTCATGCAAACCCCCGGATTCTATGGCCAGCATAGATACACAAAGCCCCCTTTCTACCTTAAAAAAAAAAAAAAAAAAAGAGCCCCCTTTCTCCTCCGCATACCCCATCCATATTTAAATGGCGCAGTGCGTGCTCCGTGCTGTGCTGCCTTGGAACTCAGTCCGCCTCCACCTCGAGGAGACGAAGAAAAAATCCCAACCACCAGATTGATTCGCACACGAAATCTATCACAGTAAAGTATCGTCTCAAGGTCCAAAGATTTTGGTATCCCTGGTCCTGGGAGCTCCAGCTCCAGCTCCAAGCGCTTTAGCTCGATTCAATTCCTTCTTCAATTGCTGTGTGGGCGTCTCTCTCCCTGCCCGAGATGCTGTCTCTGAGCTGCCCAGGGGTGTCGTCCATGAGCAAGACGGCGTTCGACTTGGGGCAGCTGGTGGCCCCCTGCGGCAGCCGCTGTCCCAGCGCGCGGGCGGCGCCCAGACGGCGGCGCACGCCATGTGTTTGCTTCGTTGCCTCACTGGCCACCGCCCAGTCTGGTCTGCTCCTCTCCTCTCTCGTTTTCTGCTGCTTAAGCTTGATTGCCTTGCCGTGTAAAATCCGAGTGCTTTAGCTTGGTTTCAGTGGCAGTGCTGGACTGATGTGCTTACCGACCGGTGTGTCTGTGCAGGAACTGCGGCTGTTGATGTGCCGGCACGGACGATTCCTGCTGTGACAACAGCAAGCGCCCCTGAACGCATTTCTGTTTCTTCTCTGCTCGAGGTTGTCTCGGACGACTTGCTCAGCCTCAACAACAATCTCAAATCGGTGAGCTTATTCTAGAAGCCATATAGTTTAGGTTCCTTTTTCTTCTCCTTCTTTTCAGAATTCAGAGAACGCATGTTTAGGCTATGCGCGCGTGAACTGTCAAATTTCTCTTTTTTCGTGATTGCAATTGATAACCATATATAGTTATGATTGTGACTTATGGGGAAGGCCATTAATGCATACTCATATTCTACATTTGGCTGCACATTTGCTTTGGTGTTTCTTTAGAATGTGTTTTCAAATCTATAGCCATCATGTTAACGGGCTACATCATTCGAAATTACCTTTGTCTTTAAGTAAAATATTCCGGTAGAATGTGTTCCTCAAGGGTTCCTAGTTCATGGAATTTCCGGTAAAATATTCAATGAAACTCTAAAGTAAAATAAGTAACCATCATATGCTCACCGTGAGTGTGCATGGTTGCACCTGATCTTTGAAGTGCCCTGCAAGATGACAGGAATACAGAGATGACTAAAGGCATTAAAAGCCGCCTCCATCCCTTTCAAGGGGATATGTGTTTCTTCATGTATTGGTCTCATATTTTGATGACTTGGAGCTTAGAGCACCAAGAGTGGGCTGAAGGATTTTGCAGTTCTGCTCGCTCTAACCTGTCATTTTTTTGTGGCCTCTGTAACTTCCACCACTGGGCTTTTCTGTCCTTTTCTGCAAACTTCAGTTTATTTCTTGAATTTTGACATGCTTCGAGAACTTATATATTTTTTAAAGTTTCATGGATCCATCAATCCAACTAAAATATCAAATAGGGCTGTTTTTTTTTTTTTGCTCGAACACGTATAGTATAGAACTGAAAATAAGAAGTACAGTCAATACTTGAGCACTTTCCCAGTCCTCATGATTCCTAGGCTCCACCAGGCCTCAGAAGTTTTTTCTTTGACATGTTCCTCAAGCGTTCCTAGTTCATGGAATTTCTTTAAGACAAAATATTCTCATGAAACTCCAAAGTAAAATAAGTAACACCATATGCTATCAGCAACTGTCCAATTCCATGGTTGCTCCGGCTCTTTGAAAGTGGCCTGCAAAATGACAGGAATGCATATATTATTAGACATTAATAGTTTCTTCCATCCCTTTCAAGGGGACATGTATCTTCTTCATGTAGTGGTCTCATATTTTGACAAGTTGGAGCTCAGAGCACCAGAAGTGGCCGGTGGAGTTTGCAATTCTGCTTGCTATAACTTGTCAATTTTTTTGTGGCCTTCATAACATCTTCCACTGCCCTTTTTGTCCTTTTCTGCAAACCTTTAGTTTCTTCAATGTTAACATGCTTCGAGATTTTTTTTTGAAGTTTAGTTTCAGGCATCCATCTATACAACTAAATCTCAAGTAGGGCTGAAAGTAAGAAATACACACACTCATACTTCAGCGCTTCCCCACTCCTCATATAGTCATATCTAGGATCCACCAGGCCTATGACATTGACTCAAAGTGAGTCACAATTAGTCAATTATTATTTTCTAAAGTTGTGATGTCCAGTGGCGTTAGGACCAAAGAGGGCCATGGCCACCCCTAAGCTAGACAAATTCTTAATGGAGTATTTATTTTCATTCATTTAAGCGCTGACAAGATACTAATCTGTCCCCACTCTACTTCCATTTCGTGATATATTGTCCCCACTCTTTTCCTGTCCAAGCTCTACCACTGGTGATTGCCATGTCTTGGACTAAGACCTTGAGCTTTGACAATATAATAAGTTTCATGACACAACAATTCTCCTAAACGCTTAAGGTTTTGGGAAAGGTGGACGATATACTACACATTTTTGGTTGAATGCAAAAAATATTTTCCTTAAGAACTTCTTGGACTAAGGCCTTGAGCTTTGACAACATAATAAGTTTCATGCACACAGCAACTTTCCTAAACGCTTAAGGTTTTGGGAAAGGTGGACGATATGTTCATACTACACATTTTTTGTCCTGAATGCAAAAAAAAAAAAAAAATCCTTAAGAAATATATGATGATACATCGCAGCTTTACAATCCATCTATAGATCTTTGTTCTTCATATAAATAAGGCCTAAAATTTCAGAGCATTAAAATCAAATAACATGCCTGCTCTAATTTGCAATCTGCAACAGCTGTACACATGACTGCTGAAGATTATTTTAGCAGTTCGTGCTTAATGAGCTCCTATCTGCCACAGTGATAACTGATATAACTTCAACAGCTTGTTGGTGCAGAAAATCCAGTTTTAGTTTCTGCAGCAGAACAAATTTTCGGTGCCGGTGGAAAGAGATTAAGACCAGCATTAGTTTTTCTGGTGTCCAGAGCAACTGCTGAATTAGCTGCTTTGTCGTAAGTTCCTTTCTCTGCTATAGATGTACCACTTTGTATCAGGATTTTTTGATATTGAACACACAGATATTTCGGTTTTGCAATCCAGGGAGCTAACTACAGAACATCAGCGCTTGGCTGAGATCATAGAGATGATTCATACTGCAAGTCTAATACATGATGATGTCATAGACGATAGTGGGATGCGAAGAGGTATGTACAATGTTTTTTTCAGGAACAAGTCAGCCGTATTGTCAATAGAAAACCGTTCTTTCATCATGCTCTTTTCTATTTTTATTTTAGATCTCTTAGAAACGTTTGTTTAATGTTTTCTGGGCATGGCTGTGCATGGTTGTACTTCAACCTTCTATTGTTTTCTTTTTGCGTTTGAACTCTGGAGACATATGTTACATTGAAAATTCATTTGTCATTTTTACACCTCTCTTTAGTCTTTGCTATTCCTTGTTGCACTCGCGATACCGGAAGCCTTTTTTTTTCTTCTCGAAAATCGAAATGAAGGAAGCATATTCCTTCAACACATTGACATTCACTTCACCATAATGTAATGGTTTTGTGAGGGTATCAATAAGTTGACCGGTTTATTCTAAATTAGATTGGATCGTTTGCAAGAAAAGAAACAATCCATCAGCTTTTCTATGTCACAGGGTACCTGTGCTTACAGTGATCTTGTGTACAGTGTTTTTTCATGAGCAAATCAGCCATATTGTCAATAAAAAAGCATTCTTTCATCACATTATTTTTATTTTTTAATTTAAAACCTCTTGGAAGCATTTGTTTAATGTTTTCTGGGCATGGATGTCCATGGTATTTCTAAATTCTATTGATACTCTTGGCCCTTGTACTTTGGAGACATAGGTTCGTTTGGAAACCCGTGTTTCATGTTTATCTCTCATTCTCTCTTTACTAATTACCTTGTTGCATTCGTGATACAGGAAGCTTCATCTTTGTTTCCTTTACGCTCAATGTTATTCATCTTCATCATACTTCATAATGTAATGGTTTGGTGTGGGGACCAAGGCCAATAAGTTGACCTATTTATTCTAAACTAGATCTGATCGTTTGCAGGAAAAGAAACAATCCACCAGCTCTATGGCACACGGGTGGCTGTGCTCGCTGGTGATTTTATGTTTGCACAGTCTTCTTGGTTTCTTGCAAACCTAGAAAACATTGAAGTCATCAAGCTCATCAGCCAGGTACTAAAGGATCCGAGCAGGCTATGATCTCTTCATTTAAATAAAAATGTCCGTGCTCTGTTTACCTAAAGTGGGGAAAAAACGATGTGCTAACAGGTAATCAAGGATTTCGCCAGCGGTGAGATAAAGCAAGCATCAACACTCTTCGACTGCGACGTCACCCTCGACGATTATCTGCTGAAGAGCTACTACAAGACCGCTTCTCTGATCGCGGCAAGCACAAGGTCCGCCGCCATATTCAGCGGCGTGGACACCACCATCTGTGAGCAGATGTACGAGTACGGCAGGAACCTGGGGCTCTCCTTCCAGGTGGTGGACGACATCCTCGACTTCACCCAGTCAGCCGAGCAGCTCGGGAAGCCAGCGGGGAGCGACCTGGCGAAGGGAAACCTGACAGCCCCCGTGATCTTCGCGCTGCGAGACGAGCCTCGGCTACGTGAGATCATCGACTCCGAGTTCAGCGAGCCCGGGTCCCTGGCGGCCGCGGTCGAGCTCGTCCACCGCAGCGGCGGGATCAGGAGAGCCCAGGAGCTCGCGGAGGAGAAAGGTGAGCTGGCCATACAGAGCCTGCAGTGCCTTCCGAGGAGCGAGTTCAGAAGCGCCCTCGAGAGGGTGGTGCACTACAATCTCCAGCGGATTCAGTAGGTATTCTTACCGGCTCCACGCGGTTTCTCTAGTTCTCTGAAAGATCCGGGGGGCTCCATGTGGATGTAGAGCAACTCCTGCCGGAATCCATGTGGCACCATGTTGGCTCCGGGGAGATAATTGGCGCAGCAGCATCACATGCGAGTGTGCAACCGACACTGCCGCGTACCCACCAACCTCGTGGGAACTGGAGCATTTTGTTTCTGCAGCTGGTGTCATTTGTACGTATAATGTATCTGCAAGGGGAATAGAAAAAAAAAGGCAGGCAGCATATATTGTATAGTTGGTTCTCCATTTCTTTGGGCACTGGCATAAAGCTTGGTGTGCAGTAGTTCTAATGTTGTATTGGTGTTGTAACTATGAACAGAGAAGCTGTTTTGGACGACCACGACGTTGATAATTTAATATACATCCTGATCAGTCATCGTGGAATATACTGCTGGGATATATGCATGAGCAGGTTGATCTCACCATCATCACATCATCAGCTGATGCTGATGGTCATGCCGATTCTGTGTTGCCTACCTGTGTTGCCTACCGGTGCCAGCCATTCCCTGTGTTTTTTCTTCTGTGGTGGTGGTGCTCTGCTGTCTGGTCCGTCCGTGTGAATTAAGGCGCCACGCCACTCGCCGCTGACTCTGCTGCGCCTAAACCCGTGGTTCTGTTGGGTTGGGTTTCTTTTTCTGGTGGTCGGTGTTGCTGGCCATTCTTTTGTGATGAGTGATGATGAAGTGAGGGCGATTCCGACGCGACGTCCAACGGATTGTGTGACGGCCACGGCCGGTCGTCCTCTCCTTTTTTGCAGACGACTGGTACACGACGCCTGCACAATTGCTATTTTTGCTACCACCAGCAGTCCGGCCAGGACGGCGGTCAGTAAATAAATATATAAATATACGTCCACGGCCCGTGTGATCTCCGCTCCGGCCAGTTAGTTAGTATAAAAACAAACCGAAATATTATTTCGATTGATTTTTTTTAAGAGAAAAATATTGTTTTAACTGAAAAAACGAGCTGAAAATTATGGATTACAGGACACATGAACGGAGCAGGGCATCAATCACGCGAGGCGGACACCGCACGTGCTGTAGCAGTACAGCGCTCGCAGGTCGGCGGCGCCCATGTGTCGCTGCTGCTGCATCCGTCCCGCGTACGGCGTCCCTGGTCCGTCTCGACTGTCCGTCCGGTCCGATCCGGCGCAACAACGCAGCTGGGTTCCGGCAGATCCTACTGCCCTCTCGCGGCGTCACGGCGTCAGGCACAAGAGCACCGACTAGGAGGAGGAGTAGGTTACTATTATTGGCGGCTGGTTGCACGGGCACGGGTCGCTAAAGTGTGATTTGAAGGCAAGCCTGCCATTAGTTGGCGTTTCAATTCCCCACCTAATGACACCACCACCACCCACGGCCACGGGCGCAGGGTGGTGCCGACCGGAGACCCCAACCTACACCCGTCGCGAATGTCATGCGCCGACACGAACGCAACAGAGACTAGTTATCTGTTACAGCGACGGTTACTATATACGTCACTGGATGTATCGTACCTCTAGGATATATACTGTAGATGAGCTACTTATGTAGTCGTTGAACCTATGTTTAATACAATCATCGAGTGTTGTGTTAGCTTCGTGCTGTGCTTTCTCTGTCACCGAATCAAATCAACTTCTAGAGTCATCTTACATAAAACTTCTATAAATGTACTCCTACTAGCCAACTTTGCAGGAGAGATTATAAAAAACATATATTTCATGATAATCTAATGAAACTGATCTTGTGTCATGAATTTTTGTATTCTTTTCTATAAAACTAGTTAAAATTGTTACTTCATCTATTCTAAATTATAAGACGTTTTGACTTTTTTTAGTACATAAAAAAGTCGAAGCGTCGAAATGGAGGGAGTATTTCGCATAACTTTAGGATTTTTTTAGGACGGTATGAAAGCGGCAGATAATGTCAAAATGAAATTTGGACATCGTGTTTTCAAAAGCCACTAGGCGTTGGTAAGCCCAAAGGAGGTGGGGGCGGTGGATGGATCACACAAACGGCGTGTTTGCTGGTTAGTTTCTGGGCTGGTTTAGGCTGACCGGTGCTGATTCGTTGTGAGAGAAAAACACTGTTGACTGGTTGAATAAGCCTGACCGGAAGCGGACAGGGCGAAAGATGCAGATCGGACGGTGGGCAAGCGTCCAGCACGCCACCCACTGCCCGGGCCCCCACCATATAACGGCAACAAGCCACGAGCAACACGAAAGAAATCTCCCGTCCTCCGCCTTTCCCTTCTTCCCCCGCTCCGCCTTCCGCTTCCCTTCTCTGAGTTCTCTCCTCTCCTCGAGGGCGCTGCACGCCTGCACGCGGCGCGCGGCGAGATCGGGTGGAGGAGCCCTACCCCCTTGCCGCGCGGCCGCCGTCCCACGTCCCAGCGTGCTCGGGGCCTTGCTCGCCCCCTGATCCCGACCGCGCGCGGCGTCTCGGGGCCCGGTGAATGCGCTGTGCCGCCGCAGGCCGCAGCGTAGGCGGGTGCTGAGTGCGGCGGAGGCGCGGGGCGCGAGGTTTTCGTTTGGCACCGGCGGTGGGGCGGGAGATCCGGCCAGCGGGGATGCAGCAGGACCAGCGGAAGAAGGTGGGCGCTTCTTCTCCTCCCGCTTCCTGTTGGTGCTTGCTCGTAAATTTCGCCGTTAGGTTGCTGCGCGCTAGCGTTGATTCGGTTCTGGGCTGCTCATAGAGTCAGTGTGCGTGAGCCATCTATTCCTAATTTTCAGAACCTCTACTTCACCTTTATTTTCTTTTTTCTTTTTAAATCATGTCTGTTTTTAAAAGTTTTGACGGGACTCGACGCGACGCGACTCATCCATGTTCTTATCAATTGGTGGAGTCTAATAAATTCGATCTGGACATCGCTTTGAATTGATGATGTAATGAAAAGGTCAAATACCGCGTGAGCTGAACGGGGTGAGTTTGCGGACAGCTCTGATCTCCGAGATGCCATCTGTCCCCCGGATTAAACAGCACGGCGGCCTGTTGCCTTAGCCCTGTACTCCTGTCGGCGCGCATAGCTGTTCGTTCCCTTTGCTTGCGGTGTTCGTCGGGCACGCCCACGAGGAGGAGACGATTCCATTAGTAAAAGGGAAACTGTTACTTTTTGTGCACACGGTTACTGCCTTATGACAGGTTCTGTCCGTTCCGAACCTATTCCTGTATCTGCCTGCAAAGGTTTGGCAACCCCCTTCCATTTGCTGTCCCGTTTCGGTTTCCCAAATTGAGCATTCAAGTCGTCTGCAGTGGGGGTTTCTTGAAACAGTTCATTGATCTAGTGTGCGCAATTCGTGTTGCAGACTTCTGCAGAGGCCGACTTCTTCACAGACTACGGGGATGCAAACCGGTACAAGATCCAAGAAGTCATTGGTAAGGGAAGCTATGGGGTTGTGTGCTCTGCCATCGATCTTCACACCCGGCAGAGAGTGGCGATCAAGAAGATACACAATATCTTTGAGCACGTCTCCGACACCGCGAGGATCCTCCGTGAAATCAAACTTCTGAGGCTCCTAAGGCACCCTGATGTTGTTGAGATCAAGCACATTATGTTACCTCCCTCGCGAAAGGACTTCAAGGATATTTATGTTGTTTTCGAGCTTATGGAGTCCGATCTCCACCAAGTTATAAAGGCCAACAATGACTTGACCAAGGAGCATTACCAGTTCTTTCTCTATCAGTTACTTCGGGCCCTCAAATACATTCATACTGGTATGACACTTCTCCCGCTGTATATGCCAGCCATTTCCCTGAATCTCCCAAAAATGGGAGTGTGCATTTTAGTTCAGTCATGTATGGCTGGTCATAATCCCTTTCATCTCCTTTTATGTTGCAACCCAGAGTGAACATTTGATTGCATAGTGTACCTTTTGTAGCCATACTTTATGCTGATTCTGAACTTACATAATTGCAGCTAATGTTTATCACCGTGACCTGAAGCCCAAGAATATTTTAGCGAACTCTAACTGCAAATTGAAAATATGTGACTTTGGACTAGCCCGAGTCGCATTCAATGATACCCCAACAACAGTCTTCTGGACGGTATGTAAGAAACAAAGAGTCAGCTCTTTTTTCATTGGATTCAGATATAATGTATGTCGTGTATTGATACATATGCCCTGCAGGATTATGTTGCAACAAGGTGGTACAGAGCTCCAGAGCTCTGTGGATCCTTCTTCTCCAAGGTGAGCTTTCTAGTTACATATCATTACTTATTATGTTCACTAATAAGCAATGTTTGGTGGTCCCGTAATATGAATTACCAGTTATGATTATTTGAGAATACTATTCGCTTATGTTTTCCAACTTGACAATGAATTCTATCATGGTATGCTATTGCATATCTTCATTTTATGTTTCCTCCTTGACAATGAACTCTATCATGGTATGCTATTGCATTTTACTCTTACCGTTGCCTTGTTACTTTTTGGTAGAATTTGGTAGGAGCTCCAACTCATGGAGAGATGCTCTTTAGTGTCTTCTTTGAATGGTTCTATCCAAATACTGTGAATCTGGATAAAGATTCTCATAGTAATTTCACACGAGAGATTTCATCAAACTTGTCATTTATAGGTACAGATATAAATGTTCCTTTTTGGTTCTGTATGCCATTTTCATTATGTTTTTTATTTTTATGCATGGATCAATCTGATTGATATTTACCTTTTTTTGTCCCTATTATGCACAAATAGGAAGTAGGAACCAATAACCTGCTGAATTGCAGCATTACAATAATCAAATGAGCATTTCTTACTATTAAAAATGCTTGCGTTTTATATAAATTATTGCCAGATTGTCTATAATCTGAATGTGCTTTATATTGTTGTTATCCCCCAAAAATGCAGTATACACCGGCTATTGACATTTGGAGCATTGGATGCATATTTGCTGAGGTGTTGACAGGGAAGCCTTTATTTCCTGGTAAAAATGTTGTTCATCAGCTAGATTTGATGACTGATCTTCTAGGCACACCGTCAATGGATACAATTTCTCGGGTATAGTGCTATAACCAAGGAAACTCAATTTTTAGTTCGTCTCATGGCTCAGTGACTCCAAAGTTGAACTTGTTTTTTTATTCCTTTTCAGGTTCGGAATGAGAAAGCAAGAAGGTACTTGAGCAGCATGAGAAAGAAGGACCCTGTTCCATTTTCTCAGAAGTTTCCCAGTGCAGATCCTTTGTCCCTTAAACTATTAGAAAAGCTATTAGCCTTTGATCCAAAGGACCGTCCAACAGCAGAAGAGGTAGTCCTTGCTGCTGTATCATCTTAAAACCTTTTGTGTCTAATTTTTCTCTATGGAACTAGATCTGTGATGTTGCTTTCAACCTTACTTTGTAATCCTAAGTATTTGCGACATTTCTTTCAATATATGTATTGTTTCAGGCATTGCGTGATCCATACTTCAAAGGTCTTGCCAGGGTTGAAAGAGAACCATCCTGTCAGCCAATCAGAAAAGTGGAATTTGACTTTGAGCACAAAAGAATGTCAAAGGAAGAGATAAGAGAGTTGATATTCCGTGAGATACTGGAATATCACCCACAATTGCTGAATAGCTACATTAATGGCACAGAGAGGACAACCTTTCTCTACCCAAGGTTTTAGCTTTTCTGTGTTTGCACATGTATGTTGCTTTGCGCATGCATGTATTTACTCATGTATTCGTTTGTTTCAACCCTTTGATGGAAACACTTGCTGGCTATTTTTTATGCAGCGCTGTTGATCAATTTAAGAAGCAGTTTTCTCATCTTGAAGAGAGTGGTGGTAACGGCCCATCAAGTCCAACAGACAGGAAACACGCATCCCTTCCCAGGTAATAGGGCATCATAGTCTTGATTTCATCCGCAGGCTGCTTTGAGGTGCACTTTCAAGTACATGTACATCTTAGTTTGTCTCCATATTAAGGTTCTCCCTTGTGGCCTGAGTGCCCAATGGTAAGAAGAGTCATCTTCTGGGTTGGGTATGAGTTCGTTGTTAGGATGTTGATACCTGAGAGCGAAGTGACCAAGGCTAGATGATCATGGGAGTTCAAACTTCAAAGATAAAATCGTAGTTCTGCTGGATAATTTCAAAGTTCCTATACATGGTCTTGAATGCAAGACCAGAGGTGTTTCCAGCAGTACTCAGTGGTGTCAATGTTCTAGGATCGAGGGTGCACATGTTCTCAAATTCTGAAGTCAACTGTACAATGCTTCACTGGCATGGTACAAGTCATGTTTTTTTTTTCTGAAATCAAAACTGACAGTTGATTAGTATGCGTTCAGAATGTTCATAAACAGTTGCTCCACTTGTGTGTGCTTCTGTCTTTTTGTCACTGTAATTTAGTTGAGTGAAGGCTTTTGCTTTTTTGTTTTGCTAACCTGCAGATTCATTTTGTAGGACTACTGTTGTTCACTCGAATCCAATTCCTGCCAAGGAACAACCTCTTGCTGCCTCATCAAGGGTTAGACCAGTCTCTGATGATTCATGTAAGAATCCTTGGGAGAAAGGAAGTGGTCCTGGAAATGTTCCCAGGGCATCTCTGGCTCCACAAGGGCTGCAAGCACAAGCAGGTATTTCTGTGTTCACTTACTACTAGTTACTCCTTCCGTTCCAAATTGTAAGTCGTTTTGACTTTTCTAGGTACATAGTTTTTGCTATGCATCTTGATATACGCCATGTTTAGATACAGAGCAAAAATTACATATTTACAAAAGCGAAAACGACTTATAATTTGGAATGGAGGGAGTGCTAAAAATGATTTGTTGATATTTTTCGACTTACCATGGCCCTTTTCTGAGATTGTTTTCTATTTGCCAGCAGGATCAGTAAGAGTTAATGGCTCAGTGATGAATTCAGGGTATCCTCATCAACAAATCCCACAAGCATACGGTTACCGTCAAATGCCTGCAAGATTGGACAGTACCAACCCATCACAGGCCATGGGAGGTTACACACAGCAGTCGCAGGCTTATGCTTGTGCTAACAGCAAAGGCTCGCCTGATGTGGCTGTGAACATGAGAGCACCCCCCTTCCATCTTCCAGCTGGACCGAAGAATAACCCATTAGATAGGATAGCATCTGACACTGACATATACACAAGATCCCTTAACGGCATTGTTGCTGCCGCTGCGGCATCAGTAGGCGCTGGCGCTCACCGAAACGTTGGCGTTGTGCCATCTGGCATGTCAAGGATGTATTAGCTGCTGATATGCTGGCCACAGCTTCTCCAGGACTAGCCTTCCAGAAGTGGCATATGGTATAAGTAGTGATTCATAAGAGGTGATCACATAAGAGTCTTGAACTCTTCAACATGTTGTTTTTACGCCATATATTGAGGCGAAAATGGTGCCAGTTTGCGCACAACTGAAGGTTTGATCAATTCATTTAATTCAATGGAAATTACGTATTTGTTAATAGTAGAAGGATGCTAATCCAAGGGAAAGGCTGGAGATATTCTGACATAAATGCAACATTTGTCATTGCCCGTTGCAGACTTGTTGCAACGTCGAATTTGTTGAAGGCTGGAGTGTCAGAGTTCCAAATTTCTTGAAAGTGAACCTTGGGGTAGTCTGAGTTCCAAATTTCCAATTGCCATCGTCCAGCGCCATTAAGCTTGCAACTCCAGCACCAGCATGTGCGTGTCGTCGATCACGGTCGTGATGGAATCAGGTGGTTCCCTAAAAAGTCAAAACACACGCACACACACACACACATTGCCCCGGCAACGTAGCATGGTGGGCCTCGTAAAAGGTCGGCCCAAACCAAAATAAGGAGATGTCGAGGGCCCAGGATGCAAAAGGCTGTTCACTTTTCCTTGTATATATATACATACATACATGGCAAGAGGCAAGAGGCAAGAGGGAATCATTTTTTTAAAAAAGATTAAGAGGGAATCAAAATCGCAAAGGCGGTTTATTTTTCCATGTATATCTATACATCACTAGTACCTCATGCATGTGCCCTATATAAAAAACCCAATCAATCCTTGCTTAGCTTTACTACCATACGTACAAACATTCTAATACGTCGTCGCTCCCTATCTAAAGGATCGGATCCAATATGGCGGCCAGGAGCTTCAGCGTCGGCCTGGCGGCCGTGTTCTTGCTCGTCGTGCTCTTTGCTTCGCCTGCACAGTGTAAGTGTGTAGATTACAACCTTTGCCTGTCTCTGCATGTCATTTATGCCATGTACAGATATCGACATGTATATTTTGTGTGACAATGCATGCATGTCTATCTATGAATTTGATTTGCAGGTCGTCGAGGGCTACTTGATCAAGTCGGAATTGCAATGAGGAGGTACCCAAGCGATAACGCTGCAACTACCGCGGCCGTCAATTCCACGGCGTTAGATGGGAGGAGCAAGTTCACATTGTGTCACTACCGGAATCCTCAAATTTGCCGGAATCCTCAAATTTGCCGAGTGTTGTTTTGTTTGCGAGTGTATTCCCTCGGGCACTCGGCGAACAAGTTCTTTGCCGAGTATCGCGCTAAAAACACTCGGCAAAAAAAAAAACACTCGGCAAATAGGACGTTTTGCCGAGTGTCAAAACAAAAACACTTGGCAAAGAGGTGGTTTGCCGAGTGTTAAAAAAATACACTCGGCAAACAAAAATAAAATCTTTTTTCTGAAAAAGAAGGAGAAAAAAAATAAAAAAACAAAATTTGCCGAGTGCTCAGATCCAAAACACTCGGCAAAAAAAAGTAGAAGAAGAAAATAATTAAAAAAAACTTTGCCGAGTGTCCCATCTCGGACACTCGGCAATCAACAAAAAAATCTACTTAACCGCCGCGCCCTCTCTCTCCTCCTCAGAACCGCCCGCGCGCGCCCTCTCTCTCCTCCCTCCCCAGAACCGCCCGCCCCCTCTCTCTCCTCCTCCCTCCCGGCGGATCTCCGGCGTCGCCGCGCCCTCTCTCCTCCTCCCTCCCCAGATCCACCCGCGCCCTTTCTCTCCTCCTCCCTCCCCAGATCCGCCCGCCCCCTCTCTCTTCTTCTTCCTTCCCGGCGGATCTCCGGCGGCGCTCCGACGGTGGATATGGCGTGCCCCAGCGAGGAGCAGCCCGGATCCGGCATGGAGCAGCCCGGATCCGGTAGGCGCGAGCGAGGTGGCGGCGCTCCTCCACCGGCGTGGGGCCGGCGATGCGGCGCTCCTCCTCCACCTCAGCGTGGATCCCGCATGGCGGATCTGGCCTTCTTCCTCCGCTCCTCCCTCCGTCTCTCCCTCCCTCCCTCGTCGCATGGCACCGGAGAGGAGGCCAGCGCAAACCCGACGTCCGGCTGGGGGCGCCGCGCCCCTCGTCCCCTCCCTCCACGGCTCCACCACGGTGTGGATCCGGCGGAGAGGATCCCTCCGGAGGGGATTAGCCCGCGGGCGGCGGATCCAGCCTCGAAGAAGTGCTGGTGCGGCGGATCCGTCGAGGAGGCGTGCTTCGGCAACGGATCCGGTAGGGAGGAGCGCTCGGGCGGTGGATTCGGTGGGGAGTTCACTGGTGGCGGATCCAACAGCGTGGCCTCCGAGCAGGCGTGGATGGTGGTGGTGGCGGCGGTGCTGGTGGTGTGGCTCCGAGCAGGCGTGGATGGTGGTGGCGGATTCGACAGCGTGGCCTTTTTTTTTTTTTTTGGAAAAAAAGTTTGCCGAGTGTTTTTTGGGCAGTCGGCAACGTCTTTGCCGAGTGCACGACAAAAAACACTCAGCAAACTCGCGTTTGCCGTAACAGGGTTTGCCGAGTGTACGTTACACTCGGCAAACTCTTTGCCGAGTGTTTTTGAGGCCCTGGCACTCGGCAAAGCTCCTGAATCCAGTAGTGTGTCCCAATGCTATGTAACAAACGAGACTGCTATTGTTGCGAGACTGGAGATTACTGTTACTACTCACGGAAACAGTGCTAGGCCAACTGCGCCAGCTGCGACCCCAAGTGCCCGCCGCCGCGGTTGCCCCTGCAGTAACCCCGATCGGCGCAAAGGGCATGCCAGTCCGCCACACAACCGTCTGATTCGGAGCATCGGCTCATGTCTATCTACCTTCTGAAATCCATCATCTTGAAACATCCTTATGTCCCCAAGATTTGATGTTTTAATATTTTTTTATTAAGGTTAATTAGTGCTTCATTGAAATTACCCATGTACCTCTATTTATTAAAGGTGATTCATGCATGATACCTGCAAAAAACCGCTTGGAGGCATACGACAATCTTAAACTTATATGGGCCCAAACTAGTTTTATAAGAGCTAAAACATTGATAGAGAGATTATAATCGAAAGATTGTTGTTTGGGATGAAAGTATGGACACAAAAGATAAAAATAATAAAAATAAAAATAAAGACAAATGAGCAGGGAAGCATGCATTTTATTAATTCCTTGAACAACAAAAGATAAGTTTCCTTTTGGATTTTTTTTGTACGCAATAGTCTCATAAGAGCGAGACTTTCTAAAGTTTATACTCTCTAAATCATCATTTGGAGAGTTATTTGTGTAAAAATTGCTTTCTATATCTTTATACCCTTCAATAGTTTTTCTATATCTCTTATGCACTCTAGAGAGTCATCCTCGCTCTTCATCTTTGGCTAATGAGAAATCTGGAGTAGAAGATATTTATGTTTAGAGATCCAATTAAAGAGACTGTTGGAACATATTTTCACCAAAATCTCTATTTCTATAAATTAGGAATGATATAAAGGGTTTATCGGAGTTCCTCTAATGTAAGCCGTTTGATACGTGTAATGTGGTATCTTTTGTTCCCAAGATTCAATACAAGCTCTCGAATGTGGGGAAGGCCCTTGTACGGGCGCCACAAAGGCCCTTGCGAGAGGCAATTAAGCTTTCGCACTTTTATATTGTGTACCTAGATTGTGTGCTTATACTATTCTAGTTTAGCTTGCTAGTCTAGTTGATAGAGCTTAGACCTTGTGAGAGGCAATTAAGCTTTCGCACTTTATAGTGTGTACCTAGGTTGTGTACTTATTATTCTAGTTTAGCTAGTCGAGTTGTTAGCACTTCCAAAATAATAAGCCGATAGATTTCAAGATTCATGAGTCATCATATGCTCCCTATTGTTTAAAGACACAGTCGTGTACCACGGAAAGAATAGCAAGCATGGTTAAATCGTTAAATAATAGAATAAAACAAGAACAGTAGAAGGCTAACCCTGGTGTAAAAATCTAAACAAATAGGCTACGCGTACATTGGAACTCTTTGTCTGAAACACCCCCACGGCACAATTCCTGCCCCGCCGCAGTTTGAGCATCTGCCTATGCAAAAACAAATTCTTTGCAGTGCTAGCACAAATTTTTTTTCCTATCCCTTTTTAGAGTAAAAAGGGATTTTATTTCTTCTGCTTATTAAGTTGGGGGTCTATTTATCAAAATCCTGGCAGTGGGCTTGTAGTATTCGCGCATATTTGGATCAACGTTTTCTAACCTCCAGGCTAAAGACTAAAGTGCTTAATAGTGTCATGAATTCAAATTGTAAACAAAAGTAGAACCATAAATACTGACTCGATGCTTTGCACGATGCGACCAGGAATGTTGACCGATTTAGTCTCTTTCAGAATTTACCATGGCAACGGTGAAATCAGATATGGGGAGCGAGGTAGACCTTATCATGTTCTATGTGTTTGACACGGAACTGAATTCGCCGTTAGATTATAGCCGGAAATAAGTTTTAGCCTGGTTACATGAATATTTGGGTGTTCCGCCCTCCGAGCATTATTTCAGGATTAGTATGTTGGTGCCTAAACTGCAGAATGGATGGAGGTGGGAGTTGTATGAGGCCAGTAACACGAAGAAGTGGCATTTTATCGTGTCCAAGGCATTGGAGCGTCGTTATTGCAACATCGTGCTTGTTGAGTTCTTGGATTTTTTTAAAATAATAGTATTTTAATGATTAATTACAAATATAGCATTTGCAGCCTATTCGGCTGGGCTTATACGATCGTGGATTATAAGCTGGAACAGTATTTTTCTCTCACACCAAACAAGCCAGCAGTAAATAATCCACGATTGTTTCAGCTGAAACGAATAGGCTGTTGATGGAAAGGATTGTGAGATTAGTGGCCTGTCGGTAACTGGGGAGCCCACAGGGTCCTGCCGACTAGTCTCTGCACAGTAATAGGCCGAGTAGTATCCTGCCGGAGGATTGCCGATAGGTGACCTGTCGGCAACTGGAGAGCCGTCAGGGTCCTATCGGCCGTCCAGGAGCCGA